TCATAGTCATGTTTGTTACAATACAACTGTCCCATGAAATATCAAAACATTTCACAGTCATAGTCATGTTTGTTACAATACAACTGTCCCATGAAATATCAAAACATTTCACAGTCATAGTCATGTTGGATACAATACAACTGTCCTATGTATCATCATTGTCTAACTCCTCACATAAAGGGTCAGATCCTGCTTTAATTTCACACAATCTTAATTCGTCACAGAGAGGATCAGATCTTGGGCGAATTTCACACAACTCGTCATATAGAAGGTCAGATCCTCAACTAATTCCATACAAACTAGTTAGGGTCTTAACTAGAAATGCACGGGTAATAAAATTTGGCCGAATACTGGGTCCGGATACCCGGTCACTAAACTTAGGCCGGGCCGGGTGTCAACCAGGACCGAGTTCTCCTCTCGTCCCCTTCCCCCCCAAAAAAAATACACAAAATTAGAAACAAAACAAATTGACGTTTATTACATTTAACCAACAGAACATTAAAGTTTTACTTTCAACTTTCAATGCCTAGCCCCAACTTATCAAACCCTAACCCCTATTTTCTCAAAAACCCAACCTTCCCTAGAAAAATCCACTTCTCAAGCCATGCCTGTTATTAACTCCTATTGTTCTCTGAATCCCCAACTTTCAGTAGGCAGTCAGTTTTTGTTCCTTGGAAAATGTTTTTCATAACTAAACTAATTATTGACTGTAACATTCAGTACAGCGTTAGTTGCCACAAAGATTAGAGCTTAGATGCCTAACTTTGACAATCAGCCAGAGTGGAGTATTACCGGGTAGCCCAATACCCAGTCGGGGCTGAATATCTGGCCGGTTACCAGTGCATCTCTAATTTTTACATATATAAACACACACTCTAATTTACAAGAATGGTAGTTATGATAATAGTGCATCACACATGTAATTATTCCCTTGTTATACTTCCAAAACAGCCTAAATGCAAACCTTAAACAATCTTGAGAAGTTGTGTCCTGCTGTGTTACTTTATACATCCAAACTGGGCAACTATGCAATGATATCATAAGCATCTGTTGGACACATGGTAACCTTTGCATGATATTTCAGATAACTGTGAGTATTGGAATTATAAATTTAAATCTATAAGCTTAAAATTCTAAAAAATACGAAAAAAGCCAAAATAATTCTTTATACATGTAGCTGTTTTCAATCAATAATTATTATTAAACAATGGTTCTGGAACATAGAATCTTTGAATATGATGTATATCAGTTTTTATTGATTGTAATTGAAACTTAAAAGATACATACATGTAAAATGCAAAGTAGATACATATATGTTAGTTGTAAATTATTCATATAAGAGCTAATTTAATGCTAAAATTCTGGAAGGAGGAGGAAATAACATGTACTTACAGTGACTGTTATTTTGGGTAGAATATTTTATTTGAATGATATGGACTATGCCTTTTTTATTAAAATACCATTTAGCTAGGAATTAAAAAAAAAAAGAGACAAAATTTCTCAGAAATAAATTGTTAATAGCATTGACACTATATTTATCTACAGGCTGTATTTAACATACAGTAATTAAGTATCTTGATTTAATCAAGCAGTTCAAAATAGACTGTAAGAAGTACTTACAAGATCTTCAAAAATATCCCTCTGGTGTACATGTATAGTGATCAAGGTTTCAAACTTTACTCGTTCATATTTTGTCATATCATAAGTAGTTTGTTCAATTAGTTTTCTTAGAATTTCAATAAACTTATTGTTCATGAAATTCATTATTTTCTTGTCCTGTCGAGCATAGTTCAAGGCATCTTCAGCATTTTTTGTCCATAACATCTGCAAGCCAAGGAGTGAAACCTTGGGAATAAAACACAAGAAAATTTCTAAATTACTTTGTATTGTATTTATGTGATAATAAAAACTTAAAGCTGAAATCTTACTGAATCTGTTTCTTTATACTACAAAAATATAAGCAACTAAATAATCAAGGAAATAATTCCAAAGAATGAAACAAGACTTTTACTTAAGTTTACAAATGTCTTTTCTAACACCAACATGTATGTAGACAATTTGTTCTGTAAAATTGGAAGAAAACGTTTTGATACATTTGCAATACAAGCCTGTTGATTCAAAAAGTTTTGTGAGGTGTTGAAACTGCACAGCAATGATGAAGAACTTTTCCTCTTGCCTGTAAGAACTATGATCTGAACGTTTGGTATTAACCTGTTTTTAGACCAAGATAATTCAAAGATTCACTTATTTCTAACTCTAAGTTTCTGTGCAGTGCTGATCATTTACTTTGGAGATGTGTTGACTCTTTTTAATTTTTGTTTCCAATTGATTTGCAAGTGTAAAATTCATACATGTGCATGGAATCATCTTTCACAAGTTACTTTGACAAAGTTAATAGAAAATGTTGAAACTCTAATTTATGATAAAAAAACACAGAGATTTGGAAGTTTAGGAGGAATAAACACAGAATCTAATAATCCAAATAAAAAAATACAAAGCTTATTTCACTAATTGTTTCACAATTACAACTTCTTCAGGGTAAATAAGCTATGTAAAGTACACAGAAATGAAAAACTCATCCAACAAGACTTACAGACCTTCTATATGATAACAGTATAAATTAAAAAAATGATAATGTAAGATATGTATATAATTCTATTGATACAATTTTTCTTTTACAAGTTAGTACAAATTCTTGTTGAACCCATCTGTCCTTATCAATTGTTACTTCTCATGTCTGGTTAAGTTGATAAATAACTTACTAAACTGGGCTTAATGTTTTTTTGACAGAGAAGTACAAAAACTTTGTTTTCCCTACTCTATTAATGAAGCTTGTTTGATGATGTTATATTATTGGAGGTCCTAGTGGAGATATCTGGTCAAAATCACCATATTTTGGGTTCTATGAAGTTGTCATTGTTAGATTTGTCTTTATTGTTGTTGTATACAAATGCCTCTGCTAAACATACAATACAAAGAGTTGATAAAACATGAGAAAGAAAGAGTGAAATGTTCATGTTCTTTTGTTGTATTCACAACATTCATCTTACTAATAATCACAGAACTATTTTTTCTTTCAAATAAACTGAGTTTTAGTCTTGAAAATCTTGCATGTGGTCTTATCATGTAAAATTGAGTCAAACTTAAAGTATTTATCTGCCTGTACAAAATAGCTCAGATGAGGAAATTCCTGGAGAAGAGGCACTGGACAGCTCTGGTGGTCAACTGAGATGCTGCAGTGGACCTCCTGATTATTATGCCTGATATTAACTGACAGACAAGCAGTTAGGACAGTCACAGATTGTGAGATCAATGACAAAGAAAGTAGTATTCTTTGCTTCCCAAGTTATCAAGTGGTGTTTCCACATGAAATGTAAGCACTACATTGTGTAATTGCCATTTATTTATTACAAAGATAGGATGGTTTGTTGAATGCAAGATCAAAAGCACTATAACCATTACTTTTTTCATCTATCGAGCAGAGTTTCACAGAGAGATATCTGCAGCATATTGAGTGATAGCTGCTTGATTATTAAACAGTTAGGATATTATAATTTTCCTACACTGAAAATATATTTCTGATAGGTACATGAATAGCTATTCTCGTTCTGTGCTGCCCTTTATATGCTAAAAAAATTTTTTAAGCATGCCACAAGCTTTCTATCTCCCATCTATTAGAATTGACTGATTCCAATGCAACTCTCATTCAAATCATCCTGCATCAACCTTCTACCAATAAGAGTGTGACATACTCTCATGATACGTGTGGCTCCCTCTATTCAATTTTACCTACCTATCACTTTGAGTTTTGGCAGAAAATGGAAGCACCGATTTTCAGTGGAGAGGAAGGTTGGGAAGTTTGAGAAGAGGTAAGTACCTATCAGAAATACATTTTCAGTGTAAGAAAATTATATATTCCAATACGGTACATTAACCCTGCTCACATAAGCAGTGAGAACCCCACACTGAATAGATGGAGGGACTAGTACGAGGGAAAGATAGAAGCATCCTTCAAAAACGTCTGAAGGATACTTCCTAAGATGAAACAGTATGATTATAAAATGATGTAGGGAGCCGCACCACTTCTGAACCAGGTATATTCTTCGCCCATCATGGAAAGATGTCACATATATGGGTGAAAAACAGAGGAGCACATCCATTTGGGAGAGAACTATATTTATGAAACTCAATCCCAGAAAATATAAAAGTGGGTAAAATGAAATGGATGTACCCCTAGGTGTAGAATGGCTAGTGTACGATGGACCGTACTCTGCAAGTCAACACATCCCAAACCCATGCCACTGGGAACTGGCATCCATGTGGGAGTATGATGAGGATCAGACTGTCGGTAAGTTAACCGTCATCCAAAACCCAGCCACAAAGTACTGACATCCAAGTGGGGTTTGGAAAGAGGATAATACCACTGGCATGTCAACTACAATTCAAAACCCAGGACACTGGGAACTGATATCCATGTGGGAGTACAAAAGAGGATCATACTGGTGGCAAGTCAACTACAATCCAATACCCAGCCATCTGGCAGTGGTAGGAAAGAGTATCATACCATGTTCACCCTAAGTTCATGAGAGAAGTGGGAATCTAGTACCCTCCAACTCATAAATGGGGCATATGTGAATATGATAAACTGATAGATTGATCTGGGAATCTGACATCCAGTATCGAAAAAAAAAAAAAGATGTCTACCTAATGTAAACCATCTCCCTCAAAAGTGAAATTGACTGTAACCACCCCAAGCACATTAACATCCTTGTAATAAGAAACACTGAGGGATAGCAGAAGCGAAAGAACTGTAACAATCCTTAATTACCTCCACTGTGACCCACAATACTGATGGTGTATAAATTAGGGAGGAATACAGACATCTGTAATACATGTGTGAGGACTTATGTTGATTGGTTCTACTCTGTATCCAATACCCGGCCACTGGGAACCGACATACATGTGGGATCCCAATTGAAGGGGTGAACAGCAATTTTAATATATTATTTCCATTCGTTTTTACGTTTCATATTGGAGTTTGTCATGTCATCTACACCATGCCCTACTCTCAACTGGTTTTAGAACAATTTCAATATTTTGTTTGTATTTCATTAGCCCATTAAGGAGGATGCTTCCACAGTCCACAACCCCAGTAGCTTGGAACTGGAAAATTGTAAGGACTCTCAAACTCCACTAGAAGAAAAGATGGGTAAAACATGGTGGAGAGTCCCGAGGAATGACAACACCTGAGACAATGCAATGGGTGACCACAAAACCCTATTTTTAAAAACAGACCATACTGATTTATTCAGTACAAGGCATGGCAGGGACGGGCAGCTATCCCCTTCTGCTTTACCCATGTAGTTTATGGGTGGTTATGGTCTGGGATAGGCAAACAGGTGAATAGGAGAAAGAAGGAAGACATATGGGAATGTGAAACAAGGAGAACTGGGAAAGTGATTCAAATGTAGGCAAAGTGAGGCAGAGCAAGATCACATTAGTATCTCCATCCAGAAAAACAGCCCACTATTGTGGGCAACAAATCCAAAAGGATAAATATCAATGAAATATCAATGGCAAATAAAGAGACCACCGATGTCCTCACATGAATAAGAGAAGGAAGGAAGACATATGGAAATGTGAAACAAGGAGCACTGGGAAATATAGGCAAAGTGAGGCAATGCAGGACTGCATTAATATCCCCATCTGGAATGGCAGCCCGCTGCAGCGGACGACAAATCCAAAAGAAATGCATCGATAAGAAAGTGTAGGAGAGAGAAATACCTGCTGGATCAGGAAAAACGAAAGGTATAGGACAGGACCGCCTGATAATCCGAGACCAATGAGACAGAAGAACCCTGATCCAAAAGTCAAGAGAGGAAATTCACATGACAAAGAACAATGTATTGATCAGGGGAAAACCGTAGATGCATTTACATTAAGAAACTTCCATGTGCGAAGTGCAAATGAAACAAGACAGAGGCTAACAGTCGGGAGAAGCCAGATCACCTTGCCAATGACCAGGGGAAAACAAAGGGTGAAGATGGAAGACCGGAAGGTCTGGAGGAAACACTGGTGACTGAGGGTGGTGAAGAAAAGGCGGAGACAGTGGAAAAGATAACAGAAGAGGAATTTGGAGCTGAAAAGCTGCAGAAACCACAGCTGAGATGGCCAAGAAAGAGCTATCAGAAGGACTGAACACAGAGTGTCAAGGATGAACGAAATCACCCAGAGTAGAAGTACAATGGGAGGATAGACAAGTGTAGGTCCAATCTTGGCTGAAAACATCGATAGCCTAAGCAAGAAAACAAAGAACCAGAGACCAAAACCAAGGCAATTTGTGGTTAAAGGACATCGCAAAAGCCTCAATGTGAGAAGTACCCCACTGAAGTCAAAGCCAATGGAAAACAAAAGGATTGAGATACCACCCCATCAGATAAATGTTGTCTGGACAGGAATCTGTTCCACAACAAGAGTAGTTTGGTTTGTTATTAATTTTGTGCAAAGTTACACAAGGGCGATCTGTGATACCTGTCCCTAATTTAACAGTGTAAGACTAGAGGAAGGCAGCTAGTCATCACCACTGTTACGTATTAGAATTTTGAATAGCAGAAGCCGAGTTAACTGATAATTTAAATTTAGTAGTTAAATTGTACTTTGGATTTAGTATTTAAATATATACCAATATATTAGTCAATTTACGATATTTGCCAACAAGATTGATACACACTGTCTTCATTCTTAACATAAATACGTTTTAATATACACACACACCAATTTAATTTACAGTAACAATTATTACAAACAAAGATTTATAAACAAAAGTTTCACCAACTTACAAACAA